TAAACATAAAGTTTTTCAAAGACATGAATGGTTTTATGCCTAAAGCTTCTCATTGCGCCAGGGTCACCTTGCTGGGACACCACGCGGAAAGGCATTGTGTGTTTTTAAGAAGATTGAGAAGCCAATTATAATCAAGCACCATTTTAAAACGCTGGCTGTCTTAACCAGCAAAGAACAAAGGGGGATGTTCTTAAGAGCGAATCTGAGGATCAGGCAGGCGCTTCCACTTCAAGGCAGAGACAAGCATCTTGCTTTCCACTTGCTCATTAGTATTCACAGACGCTGAGGGGAGAGATCTCGGTGTCTGTGCTAATGCTTCCCCTCAAATCCATTAGCCGGGATGTGGCCGCCGGCATTGCGGGCGGCGTGCTGTGGGCGGCAGGGCGAGCAGCGAGCTCGAGGGAGCTGCTTCTGGCACACGGTCTATTCAGGAAATAGTGACCAAGCACCACTGTGATGCGGATGGAGCAGGAATTAGACATTGTTCTGCAGCCCTGGCTGCTGTGGCTCAGTGGCTAGAGCACCGGCCTGCAGACTGAAGGGTCCCGGGTTTGATTCTGGCCAAGGGCACATGCCCGGGTTTGGGGCTTGAACCCCAGTGTGGGGCGTGCAGGAGGCAGCCAACCAGTGATTCTCTCTCATCATTGGCGTTCCTGTCTCTCTCTCCCTCTCCCTTCCTCTCTGAAATCAATAAAAAAATATTTTTAAAAAATTGTTCTGCAGCCACCGGTCCACAGTCTAGAAAATGTTTCATCTCCTTCGCTTCCCCCTGACTGACGTGGGACCAGGGAGGCGGGGTGGGGGGGGATTGTGGGGTTCCCAGGTTGAAGGGCTGAGCCAGCTCACTGCCTGGGAAGGCTGCCCACCCACGACTTCCCTGGATGTGATGTGGGAAGAGAGGGACATGCATTTTGTCAAAGTGCGGAACTGTGGGGCAGCGTCACTGCTCCGAGGCGGCTTGGCTTTCTCGATGCTGACACACAGCAACACGCTCACGACGCAGACACGACTGAAACCTAAACCCACACGCCCACAGCCTCCCACGGGTGTGTCATCCAGCCGGGACCTGGGACCTGCAGGTACCGACCAGCTTGGGAAGACGTCAGAGCACAAGGGAGAGACATCTCGCTGAGAGCAGGCCTGGCTGGAGGTGCCCTCCCGCCTCTTCTCCCCAGGACATGGGTCAGTCGGCGAAGGGGACGGGCCCTTCGGGAAGGCCGAGTGGGCCTGCGGAGTGTCCACGGCAACAGAACTGGAGAGGAGCGGACAGTAAGGGGGGGAGTGAAAAGGACGCCGGCTGAGAACGTGGGGAGTGACCGCGGAGGTGGTCAGTCCGGTGAGGGTTCAGCACCACGGACAGGGCCCGGCGTGGGCCTATTTCTCTTCATTTTCATCTACACATAAAAGGAGTGAATTCAAACCAAAGTGCAGCTCCTCCCGGGAAGCGGCCGTGGGACTTACTTCCAGGAGCACCAGGCCCGTGAGAGAGCTCTCGGGGGTTAAAAATGAGGCTGGGGGCCGAGCCTCCCCTGAGGACGGGGCAGGCGCTCAATGAGCATGACGACGGGTCACCTGTTCTATGGGTTGTGTCATCCGGTTCCTGTTTCTAGGGGTTCTCAGCGTAGCTCTGTCCCTCTTCTCACAAGGCTGATCCAGACACTGAACACAACTCCTCGTCTAGTTCCCCTGAATCCCAGCCTCCTCCCTTCTAGACTCTTCCTATACCGTTCGGATGTTTCCCGCCTGTAACATCGCCCACGTTTCTTCCACCTCTGGCCACGCCACCCTCCCACACCAGCCTCACGTCCCGCCCCGCCAACTCTTCTCCATCCTGCAGAGCCCCCCTCTGAGGCCCGTTTCTCCTCGAAGAGTCCCCCGATTTCCTAAATGCCTCTGCTCTGAGGCCCAGGTTCTCCGGTTTAGCCTCGGTTTACATTATGTTTGGATTCCTCGCTGTGTCGGCGGCATTTAAAGAGAAGCCTTGAGCAAACAAAGAGCTTTGCCTTGGGCTGTTCGACAAGAGAGAGCAGGTCAGACACACATTCCCGCCAGCCCACGCCTCACCCTGGCCGCCTGGCCCGCCCCGCGAGGGGCTGTGTGTCTCTGCTGTGGAGAGAAGCCCTTCTGAAACCGGAAAGGCTTGTCTCAGGGACTCCAAGGAGGGCTGGCTGCTGCCTTGAACTTCAGGGACCTTCCAGAAAACCTCGTCTCCCAGAAGGTAGTTGTGCCTGAGAAATATGTCAAACTACATGTGTCATAGAGACTAAGTCGCCTCCTTAACGAAAAAATAATTAGCCCACTAATGAGAGCCTCGAATTATTTTAATTACAAGGAACCAATTCCGAAGTTAAGAGTGCGCTGTTAATTGCTAGTTGAGGAACACCATTTTAAATCCCTTCTCTTTGCCTAAAATCTTCCGCAAGTAAGACTCAGTGCCTCTAACGTGACCCTTCGGACGTAGCACAGCACAGCGCTCCGCCAGGAGGGGCTGCAGGCTCCCGGCGACCGGGGTGTGAGCGCTGACACGGGGGTGGGGTGGGGGTGGGGGACCACGCTTGTCCCCGTGGCCGGCTGGGCTGAGTCGTGCACCGATTGGGGTGAAGGAGTGCGGACGGGCACATTTGAAGTGTGATTGCGAAGTGCTCCACACGGACTCACCCCGGCGTGCGGTGGCCGCCCCGCAACCTGCCCTCCCAAGCATGGGAACCGAGTGGGGGGACGGGGGCCCCCACTCTGCAGATGCGTTTGAGAGGTACAGGCGTCCCCCGCAAACCCACACTGGCACCCCTGCTCTCGGGGTTGGCGATGTGCCTGTGAACTGGGTCTGCTTGTGAGCAGACCATCTCCCCCGAGTCTCACCATCTCCCCCAACCAGGTGCCCAGAAACGTCGCCTCCACCTCGTTTCATTCCTGCAAACGGAGAGGCTGTCACCCCCAACCCTGGTGAGGGGCCGGGGTGTGGGGCTCTGAGGTGCCCGGCCTCCCTGTGGGGACGCAGCTGGGCCCCGAGTGGGAAGGCAGCCGGGCCGTTGGGCTGCGTGTTGAGGAGGATCGTGAAGGGGGGGGGACTGTGCTCCTCTCAGCCCCGTGGCCGGGATGACGCAGCCCATGCAGACACGGAAACGCCATAACGAGCGTGACACGCGTCCGACGATGAGCCTGACTCATGGCTTTAAAGAGGAGCTGCCCGCCATGGAGCGCTCTGGAGAGACCACGCAGACCACGAAGGGGGCGAAGCCGGTCTGAGGCGTCTCCACGCTGTGCAGCTCCAACCGCGGGACATTCGGGAAAAGACAGAAGCAACCACCAAGCCTGAAACACGGGCTCCTAAGCTACTGTGACTTCGCTCCAACGCGCTTCCCGTCCCTCCTCCCGACAGCCGAGCGCGCCTGCAGGAGGGAGCCCGACTGTCACTGGTAACCGGCGTTCGCTCTGCTCAGGCTGCAGGAGCCCGGGCACATTGTCAGCAAGAGCCAGGTCATCGGCAAGGTCATCGGCAAGGTCATTGGCAAGGTCAGAACTGGCCTTGAGCCCAGCAGAGAGCAGGGCAACCAGGTGCACACACACAGGCTAATGAACCCTCGCGTGTGGTGTGAGCACCTTGGAGGACTGCTGCCCACACAACCCCCCACCTGCAGATCGGCAGCCCCCAAATGAACAGTCCATCCCGCTGCCTCCTGGGCCGCCTGCTAAATTAGCCCGTAATCTGTGTCCAGGAAACCACAGTCCCCGCGAACGCCCAGCGAGTGCCACTAAGGGGGCGGCCGTGCTGGGCTCCTCTGACCCCCGGGCCTCGGGCCTTGTCCACCCACAGGGCCCCCCCTCATTCACCTGCTCGGGCAGGTGTGGAGTTGAATCTAAAGCCACTGGCTGGGTGCTTGCCCTCCCACCCCGTGGAGCCCTCACCCGGGAATGCAGGGCGTGGCCAGGCCCGGGACCCTGTGGGCG